AAAGACTGATGCATCAATACTTTCAAGTGCTAAGGCTGATAAATTTGGAATATATTTTGACAAATTGGTTTATTTAAATTCAGAAGGTCATAATTCAATAGAAAATAATGCTAGTATCAGATGTTTTTTAAGTACTAGTATCTCATGAGCCTTTTATATAGTGTATAGTGTGAAAGTGTCTTTAAAAAGAAAAAAAAATCAATCATTCATCGAAAGGAACCATATATAAAAGGAGGACACACTCAGTTTTTATTACTTATTGCCATCTACTTATAGTGGCGAACCAGGACTAAATGTTCATAGAAAATAAGGACAGATTTCTGACACGGGGACAAGTTTTCTGGGCCATCAGTAAATGGAATTTGCTAACTGTGCTACATGTAAATAGGAAGCGCAGAACGTGTCAGTGAACTTGTTCGGATCTTCTCGGTGGGCATTGTCCCTGCATCGGTACAAGAAAAATCTGACGCTGTTTAGTGGACATTGCAGGATCTGACAAGCCGACACAGTCCAGTTTGATTCTTTACATGTCTTTTTAAGCCCGCGTGGACAATATCGATCTCGTTTGTGGCGAGGATTATATTAATTATGAAGAGTATTGAGTTGATGGATGATCAGCGAGGCTATCCTAAACTAATTAAACGTGAATTACACTTGAGCGTAGTTCTATCCGATTTTAAGGACCAAAAGACTGGTCTCTCTGGAGTTTTAATGTCTTGGCAGATACATTCCAGGCCAACATGACAGAGGTCAAAGCAGTAAATTTGAGCTTTCACATAAATACATGTAATATGTCAGATACATGTAAAAGTCAACAGTTAGAAGTTAAAAGAGTAGGCCGTTCAGCAAATATGTCAGGGAATAGTCAAAAGAGTAGATTGTACAGCATATATATGTCATGCATTAGTCACAATTCGAAGCAAAAGGAGTAGGCCGCGGCCGTAAAGCGAATTTGAACAGGAGTGATGAAAAACCAGGTTGGTGAATTATCTGCTGTTTACGTACTACATGTACGCAGCATTGAAAATTATTTTCAAGTTCGATAATTCATTGAAAAAGAATATTATTTTAATTATTTAATTCATAATTGAAACATGTCTCGTGAGATCTTATGTATTGCCTATTGAATGTCATTATATGCGAGAAATAAAACACCGAATGACGCATGCTTAGTTGCAGCAGCTGTTCTTCGTGATGTCGCGTCAATATTTTGAGGGCGTGAGAGGAACGTGTCAAAAGTTGTTATTACATACTCAATTTGGATTCATACCTGTGAAGTTTGTATCGTATCTACAACGCCTTGATATATAAAAAAAATGTGAAGATGATTGATAAGATGAAAATTGAAACTGTTATAAGTAAAAAGAAAAAAATATAAGGTTGAAATTACTTTTGAAGAAAATGGCTTTAAGCTTTCTTATATCATCCTTTGTGAACGTAAGATCTATTCTTTTGCATTGTTAAGAAGATTGAAAAAAATGAATAGAACAAGACTTGAAATAAGGTATCACATGTGCAAATGTAGAAGAAAAAAGAAACAAATTTAATATAAACGACCTTAATAATGTACTTTTTGGAATTAAATTGTTCGACTTTAATTAGTTTTATTTTTTTCAAAAGGTCATTAAAAAAACTCAGATACACAATATATATATATATATATATATATATATATATATATATATATATATATATATATATATATATATATATATATATATATATATATATATATATATATATATATATTGGTTGGTTAATGATCTATATTTTAATCCATTTGATTAAAGTTTGCTTTTTTTTTTACATATCAAAACTTTTGAAGAATATGCCCTTATATTTCATCTTTTAATTACACATATACACCATATATACATGTAGCTTGTGGTCGGATAAAGGTTTTTGAGGTCAAATTCAAAGAAAGAAGATGTGTTTGTGAAACACTGATGCCCCCGTATGGCAGCTTATGGTGAAGGTTAAAGTTTCTTAAATGCAAGTCAAACTCCAGGTCAAGAGATCAAAAATGTTGGTACCCAAAGAAAGGTCTTGTCTCGAGGAATGTACCTGTGAAATATGAAAGCCCTAGCCTCAATCGTAGAAAAGTTATAGCGAAGGTTAAAGTTTTTTTAAAAGTAAGTAAAACGTCAAGGTCAAGGTCAAATGGTGCCCAAGGGAAAGTCTTGTCACAAGTTATACACATGATCGTGAAATATAAAAGCCCTAGAACCAAACGTGCAAATGGTATGGCCAAGGTTAATTTTTTTAAAAGTAGTCAAACTCCAAGGTCAAGGTTAATGCTAAAATTGTTGGTATCCAAAGGAAGGTCTTTTCACAAGGAATAAACATGTGACGTATGAAAGCTCTAGCACTAACTGTTCAAAAGAAATGTATCATTATTAGGTATTTGAAACATAAAAAAAAATCATGACACAAACAGGATATATGCATAGACAATTGTATCTTTGTTGGACAAATACAATATAAGCCATATATATTTCATCAAATCCTGTTATTGAAGTACAATATGAAAAATACTGTTTTTAAAAGCAGTTATCAAAGTTGTGCTTATGAAATGAATATTTAGTAATATATCTCATTGTCACAAAAAGTACAGTGGACTATGTTAAGACAAAATTTTTATTGCCATGAAACCGTATAACTTTGATGCTTTCCTTGTATTTCTGAGTATTTTATATAATTCTTTGTTGATAATATATTTATTTATAAGAAAAATATTTATTTTCTGCCAAAATATTGCTAGTGAAAAGCAAATTAATTTGTGATATCCTTTTGTCACAAAAGGCATATTTATTTAAGTTACAAAATTCTTTTGTCATGAAACCCTATAACCTTTGATGCTTTCCTTGTTTAAATTAAATAGTTCTTCGTTAAATTGAAAAAATATATTGTTTTGTAGGAAAAATATGTATTTTTGTCCCCTACAAACGGCTAGAATTAGAATTGCAGTTAAGTCTGTAGAATACAAAAATTTCCCCTTTTTGTTAATTTTTATTTATTTATTTATTTATTTTTATTTTTATATTAATGTTTCCTTGGGGGGGGGGGGCTACATGTACGTTATCATATTTGTCTATCTTTAATAAAGCGGCTATATAGAATGCAAGTCATTGAATCAAAACTATTGATGATGCCATTAATTTAATTATTATAACGACTTCAGAATGATGTTATTTTTTAAGGGCCAAATAATCTTTTTTTGTGATGTACGTTATATTTTATTCGTATTCTGTTGTACCCAGAGCCGAATTCTTCTAGAAATTGATATTTAATATCGTCTTTCATCCAAATATTTTTTCGTCAAAATTAAGTTGACATACAGAAAAATTCCTAAAATGTTCTTTTCACTATAAGATATGAAAAATATTTTTTTTTATGATCATTGGCACAACTTCACTGAATTGTGTGGTTTATGCAAGTTATCACGTGATCAAACTGTTTGATCACATAATAAAACCAAAAAATTAGTGATACCTTAACTAATGTTAAAGGCATATTTTATTTAATGTCAAATAATATTAGATGAATCTTATCACACTAACATTGATAAAAAATGTCTACAATTAATAATAAAAAAAGGGTTTACAGTGCTGTGAGTATTATATATCATGGCCGTAGGAAATGGGGGGGTACGCCCCCCCCCCCCCAAGAAAAAATGTCGATATATAGAATAGTGTAGACAGCAATGCTACTACGGTGTATATGCTTGTGTCCACTCAATAACAACGTCTGATGACCTTTTTTTTTTGCTTGTCAAGGAATTTTTGGAAGTTGATAGTGCCCCCCCCCCCCAACTGAAAATATATGGTTGTGCAATTGCTTCCTACGGGCCTGGATATAGAATGCCGTTTCAATTTTTTTTAAGGTTTTGATGAAGCAAAGAAAATTATGAGTGATTAGCAAACTTTATTTCCGATCTTTTACGTTCATTCTCAGAGTGACAGAAAAAAGACACGAGACTTAGTGTCTGTGGGTACAAAAATGATTTAGAATAAGACTTGCAGTGAGTTAATACAGTTAAAGCGTTGCATTGGTACAACAAATAAAATGTCATCCACTTCAATTCATTTATTTGAATGTAACAACAAACGAGTTGTCAGAATTCGTGGCTTCGATGTGAGCGAGTATTGCTGGAGATAAAGTTGTGTTCGGAAGGGAAAATATTTCCACAACAAAGCACAGACCACAATGTCTTTAATTAGTCAGAGTAGATGAAATCATACACTTTCTAGTGGAATGTCAACTAATGGCAAGGTCAGTAAGATTCAGAGGAACATATAGCAGTATTGTCTTGATGACAAAATATAGAAGCACCATACCGTAAGTTTACACGTAATTTAAACTGTCAGTGAAAAGAAGGGAACTATGTAGAGAAAACGGAGAAAGGAGGGGGGATAAAAAGGAGCGAGGGACAAAGTGTCAGGGAGAAAGATACACTCACCTTTAATTTCCATGTACACCCCCACAAATACAGTGCATATTACATTTTATTGCTTATTTTAGAATTAAAACGCTAGATTAATTTTCTTTTATCATTTCATCATTTTAATTATGACAATCGGAATAGCACAGCATTTTCTCTAAACACTCATTTTTTGTGTTACTCAACACTTTCCCGACCCCGATTCAAGTCACCTTATATAATTCATGAAGGTCAGAAGATAAGGAAAAATAACACTCTTTTTTTACGCTTTCAGGGTTTTCTAGGTACATGTAACTCTTTCCAGTAAAATCGTTTGGATTCATTAAAAAGACTTTTGTGGTACAAAGAGTAGATTTGGCAATAAATTATTAATTTAACGATAATAGATACATTGCATCGCATTGCATCGATACGTAAACTCGACCTGAGCTCAGGGTTAGACAAAAGTCGTCTAATTTTGTCGTGATTCTCTGTAATTAATCCAAATAATTTTTTTTTTGAAAGCTGGGTCGTACACTGCAAACTGTCGCCGTATTAAGTGTAAATTCAATATTTCATTTATATCTACTAGCAGCTAGTTTGGAGTGTATCTCGTTTCGCTGTGTATTAACAACAAAGTCGATTGTCAAAGGTCTGTATCGACAACCTAATCCCCAGTATGTGTGACTGATGCAGAAACGTAAAGTTTATCTACTATTTTTTATTCCATACGAAAAGGACGTGAAAATTAATGATCGAATGCGAAAGCTTCGGAGACAGCGGTCATGCTCCAAGCCATAATTTCCAAAAGTTTAAGTCTTTGAGAATGGAGAAAAGAAAACAATTTACGATTAATATTCAGAGGGATTGTGGCTGATTCAGAAAACAAGGGAGAAATATTTTTTTTTAAAACTTGATTTATTTGTTGGGAATTTGTGTGCAATGTATGGATCATATGTGAACGACATGGAAGACACTTCTCCCGATAGCCAGGATGAAACAGGTAATTATATAGATAATCAATATGATTTTACAACATAAATGGAGAGAAATATACTTGGAAGATGGCGAAAAAATCATTTTATCTGAGTGACAAATACAGAGGCCTAGACAGTACAGAATATAGGTAGACATTACAGTATTACAGTCAACAAAGGTAGACATTACAGTACAGTAAAGGTAGACATTACAGTATAGTAAAGGTAGACATTACAGTACAGTAAAAGTAGACATTTACAGTATAACTGCCATAAAGGAAGACATAACAGTGCGTTAAAGGTATACATTACAGTATTACAGTACAGTAAAGATAGACATTACAGTATAACTGCGATAAAGGTAGACATAACAGTGCATCAGACGTAGACATTACAATGCAATAAAGATGGTTCACTGGTTGGAACTGTTTAAAATACTTATACAAATTACAAGATATTTCTAAATAGATTTTATATTTCAAATTCAGACTTAAAAATTATAAAAGATCAAATTATTCATTAAGACAAACACTTTACTGAAGTGTTTTGCATTTATCAGATTACAAGAGAATTTGAAATTTTCCTCAGGGAAAAAGTACTATTTTCCTCTTTTTATTTTAGTGCAGATCCGCAGGAAGCAATTTCAGTCTGGGGGAAACAACATTTTCAGTTTGGGTGGGCTTACCAAGCAAATACTCCCTGACAAGCAAAAAAAAAAAAAAAAAAACAAGAAACAAACAAACAAAAAAAACCCCAAAAACAAAAAGGGGGTCATTAGACGTAATTTGTGGGGGACACATCCATATAGTAGCTTTTTTCTGTAGTATACTATTTATGTTTCCTACAGCCTTGTAAGGGCAGTATGTAGAGTAGTAAAGATTTTTTTCAATAAAATTTCTACTGAAGAAAAGTCGTTTTTATACCCCATATCGTAGCACCTATATTCTATATCAGCTGTTTTTAACGCTTCCTCTTTGGTGTTGTATTTCTTTTTCTGAAAAAAGGCTTGTACCACATCCAGCTATAATCGAATAATTCCCAATGTCACTCAGAAGCTTGCAGCATCATATCAGATGAATAGTATGTAGATGCATTAAAGGCATGGCTATACCCTCTATACAGGCATATAGACGAAAGCGAATCGCTTCTATTCAAATCTATAGAAAATAAAAATGGTTGCTTTACAGGAGAATATTAAGTTAAGATTGTTAACAGTTGAGGCATGCAGACTTTGTATGAATGATTAATTAATTGGAACATGCAACACTTAAGAGTCTTTCAGTTCTGCTTTACTTGTTTTGACGTGTATTGTAATTAATGTCTGTGTTTATTATTTTCTTGATTGATTCTATTAAAGTCGGACATGTTTGTGTCAAGTTTTTATCCACAAGCTCCGATTTTCTCTAACATAAATTAACACAATATCAATATCTCAGATAATCTTCAAGGTATCTTTATTGATTTTGAATGTTTAGATGGATTAAAAATTTCGCTTTATCAGATTTCAATCTTATATTTTAAAAAAGCTCTAAACACAAAATAAAAAAAAATGTTTTTGGACTTTGAAAAATTCTATCATAATAAGGTGTATATATTGAGTTTATGTACTTCATTTTCAACATAAGGCACATGCCATATTTCTCCAGGAAAAATGTTCAAAGACAATGAAGTATTAATGTACAGAAATCACTGTTGTTTACTTACATTGGGAAAACATGTACAATGTATTAAATTATTTTATCATGGTCTAATATACTGTTAAAAATTCTTCAATCTATGTCAAATGATATCATTTGTGGTAAATTTTAATTTATTTAATCTTACACCAAAGGGTAGGTCACTCTAACTGCATAAAACTACCATGGAATTAAAACTCTTCTGTAAGGAGTGTTTAGAACTTCCTTAATGACCTAAGATAACATATGCTAAAAAGTGTCTGTCAAAAATATAAATCGAACCAGGTCTCCTATAAAATAACACGGAATTATTTATCAATGCTAATTAAACACAAAGTCGAATATTCACTTCCTTTATTTTATCACTTAATTAGTATATCTGTAATACGATGAAATAGCTAACCGGATCGTCCCCTGTTTTTGAACTGTCTTATGTGTGCTTTGAATAAAGCTAAATATAATTTTTATTCGACATTTAAACATCTTTTTGAAAGAGATCGATAATCATAACAGCTTTGGTAAGAACAGATCATGAATCATTAAAACACACGTGATGAGGAATATACATGTATTTATTTCATAACTCAAACGTTCTATCGGGGCTCCTCAACGAAAAAATGACAAGGTGCGTGACATGCAAAACGCTAGACCCTTTGTACAAAATACGATTTGCTATTTTTATCACTTCTCAACAAGAAAGCTAGAACTCGGGTTTACTTGATATGTCATCTCTCCTCATCAGATAATAAAAAGTATCGATATTTTAGAATTATCCACACATAAATTAGAGCATCTCTACAATAATGTTACTCTTGGTAGAAACTGGTACATGTATTTCCTGAAGGGGGTTTCGTTTTGCATCCAATGCACGCCGTATGGTGACATCACTGAAAAATTTCTAGGGCAGTTCTCATCAATAAAACTGATGTCAATATGAAAATAGGTATATAAAGTAATACTGTGCATTTTGTTCATCATGAAACTTTACCTAGTTTGTTTATGTTTTGCAACTTTATCATACATGCATTTAAGCAGTCGTTACACCTTGGTGCATTGTGTAAATTGAATGCATCCTAATATACCAGTAGCCATGCAATGTTCAATTAATAAACATGATTTAATTACTTCTAATATTGTGAGACATATTCTCTATGCAACTTAATGTCAGCTTTATTGTATTTTGTTACGATTTTTTCTCTGTTGAATAAGATTTATCTTCGAAGAAATAATAATTCAAAATAACCTAAATAATGAATTATAACATTGAATAAACCTTATATTTTATTGCTCATTCAACGTGCAAGTTTCTTTTAACCGTGTCTTACTGTAAGTTAGATCACGCCGTAGTCGTGGTGGCCTGATGCTGCCTCTTCTATATTCTACAAAGTAAAATGGATCACTAGATTATAATACTGTGTAGTTTCAATAAGGATACTCGCAAAAGTCGGACTTAAATAGAAACAAAATCATCGGACCCGTTAGCAGAAAAAAATTCCTCCCTCTGTTTCTTCCTTATGTCCTTTGCAAAACTGTTGATATTACTAATGCAAAATTAGTACATGTCATATTTTGCTTAAGAAATATCAATTATTTTTTTTTTTTGTAAAGGACACTTACATTCCATGATGTTTCGAATCTCCGTTGCATAATTTGCAAATATGAAGCTCGAATCCTTTTGCAAGAGAATCTAGACTGATTAAGCAGATTTAGAAACTAGATCAAATTAATTTCCACTTTTCGTTTCTTAAAGCTACATGTATTGAATAATGTATGGAGTTCCCAATATTTGGGTATATATATTGTTATTTGACTTAATGGTCTTTTTCTTCAACGATATTGACCATGTTCTGACATCCTAAGACTCATCAAATCAGACACATAAAGGCAAAAAATGGAAGTGTCGAAACATGAACATAAGTACATTGTGAAAACTAAAACAATGGAAAGGATTTTGGTACAGTAGAAAATATAACACGGAACATAGCACAACAATTTTCGAAGGATAAGGCAAATTTAAAAAAAAAAGTGAAACCAAAGGAAAACTTTTGTCGACTCCTTGATGATATATTAGTTATGAGAACTTGTGCCAATGCCCAATTGTAACACTATTATATATTTTTAAAAGCAATGAAATAAAAACAAGCAAATAATAATGAAAGAGATAAATACTTGCAGTTTGTTCCTGTGACCAATGCAGTTTTTAGCCGGGCTTATTGCTCAAAGAGCAATTGCCGGCTATTGTCAGCCTGTTCAATGCAGGAAGTGTTGACCCCATAGTCGCCAAATTAAAGTTACGTGTAAAAATATAGTACTTACTCTCAACCACTTTTGAGATAATACAAATGCTAAATAAAGCAACAAAAATGAAACGAAGTTTTATCTATACAAATAAACATCAGTAGTAATGACTTTGAAAACTTCAGTCCAAAGTCAAACACCATAGTTCATCTGCGTAATGTTTTTTTATAGTCAATGTTGTCGTAGCCTAGTTCTCTACAAAGACGGAGAAAAGCAGGAGAGGGAACCAGATACATTCGGCGGTGCCATGTTAACTCTGACCCTGATAAATTCGGACTGTGGTTTTAGGTCCCAAAAACTAATTGGTTTATCATTTATTTTGATATTTTAAAATAAATTTTTCATAAGATTTTTAACAATTATTTTCAAATAAGATGTCATTGAACCCTTATTTTTATTATTATTATTATTTTTATAATTGTTTATACATATTCTTCCAATGTCTGCAGAGCTCATTATTTAGCTGTTAATACAATGTACAGGTATGGCTCATGTAAAAAAAAAATCAGCTTTGTAAATAAGCCCGGCTCTCTGTACTCCTAAGTACTTTGATTTTCAATTTGTAATTAGTTTATTCAGGATATAACTTTGGGCAATACAGCCCATCAGTTTACAAAAATAACATATAATAACATATATTACAAAATTTAAGACTCTCAGTGAGCCTAAATTGGGGGGGTGAAACCCCTGGTCAAGTGTTACTCAGTCCCACAGTTCCACTCATTTATAGTATACAATAATATATATTGAAAAAATTAAGTACAATACAATAAGCAGCACGATACATAATTCAAAGTTATAATAAAATATATAGCAATGATGTTTTAATGATATCTGAAAATATAAACCTTACAGAGATAGAAATTAGGTTAACCTGATTGATCTTCGTTGCGTAATATTAGAGCATAATGAATATATTTCCCTAAACCAACTAAAGTAGATATGCGGTTGGTACCCAACAATTGGATTAATTTAAAAGTACTTGGCGATTTGTAATAATATTCATTTATATATTTTTTTCTTAAATTTAGATATCTAGGGCATTGAAGAAT